ATTTTTAATTTATTAATCCAGATATTTTTATTTATACAAATAAATATTATATTCAAATATCTTTTTATAATATATTTTTTATAGCCATATATTCTAGAATAACTATAAAAATTTTTTTATTGCTAGTAGTACAAATTTTGATTGTATAAACTCTCTATTTTTCAATAGTTGTTAAATTTGATTGATCAAAAGTAAGGAAAAGTTTATTTATATTTTAAATTAAGATAGTATATAATTGTAATTGATTGGTTAATTCAAAATATAATCGAGAAACTTTTGTTTTTTTTTCTTTTAAAATTTCAAGTAAATATTATGTAATAATTGTTTGATAACAATTTAATAATTTATAATATTTTAAAAAATCCCAAGCCCATTATTAAAAAATTTAAATAATTGAATATTTAAGTAATTTTGAATAGTATTATTTTAAATACATAAAAAATTTTTAGTAATTATTAATTTTTTAGTAATAAAATTTATAATTTTTATATTTAATAATTCAATTAAATAAAAAATTTTCTAGTTAAGGATATTTAAAAAAATTTTTATTATATAATTTAAATATTTTTGTAAAGCTTTAATTAACTTACTTAATCTTGTAATTGTTTTGATTAAATATTAAAATTTTTACTTATTGCTTTAATACTAATTTTATTTTGATTTTGTTTATAATAAATAATAACTTTTAATTTTTCTTGAGGAGTATTTTAATTTTTTTATAATTTTTTTGTTATTTATGTTTTCAAAAACTTTTATTACTAGGTATATATATTTTTATAAATTATTTTTTCAGAAAAAAAATTTATAGATACAGTATATATTTATTTATTTAACAATATTAACAATAGATATTTTCTAAAAACACTTTAAAAAAACTCTTTTTGTTGATTCTTTAATTACATACAAAAAAAGGTATTTACAAGAAATTTTATACTTTCTTGCTAATAAAGTCAATAAAGTCTTTATACTTTCATTAAAACAATTTGAAACTTGTCTTAATTTATCTTTTCTACTCCCTTACTTGTTTATAAACTCCTTTAAATAAATACTTGAACCTCTAGTGGCCTGAAAAGACTCAAGTATACACTTTCTCTACTAAAGGCAAGAAGGTTTTAGGAAGTAAAAAGATTGACAAGTGGAGTGTCATCTTATAGAACTAGAAGTGACAAGAAATACAGGTTCTGTTGGCAAGAGAAGGCTTATTTTTCATCTTCTTACATATTGTCTTATACTCTCTTAAAGTGCTAACTGATTTTCACAGTTTTCTTGAAGGATTTTGCCTACCTTAGTTTGATTCTAAATTTTTGATAACACAACATCACCTGACATCTGATTGATTGATTAATTGATATGAAATATATTAGTAGCTGAATATAAACAAGCTTATATTGATTACCTCACATATTCTGATAACATTATTGATAATAGAAAGAAAAATCAAGGATACAAACTCTTTCACTCCTCCAAATGAAGTTTAACTGAAGCAAAGAAATCACGAGTCCATTAGAATGGGCACTAAATTCCCTAGGTATTAAAAAGGTTATTATCTGTTCAAGTTGAGACCTTCAATTTCTTATTATCCTGATCAGACAAAGTATACAAAGAAGGTTATTTTCTTATTTTGGTCAGGCTGTAAGATCAAAAAGCAGAGAAATGTAAAACACTACCATTCTTTAGGATTGAAAATGTATTTCCCCAAATGTTGTGTAATGCTATCACAATTAAGATGAACACTAGTAAATTTCTTTCTACTAGATATGGTTGTTAAAAGATATTAAGAGTTATTTAATAAGACTAAAAAGTTATATAAGAACCTGAGATCCACTATTAGTTGTCTTTTTCTGCACAGGTGGGTACAAAATCAAGACTGAAAGAAAGGAAGTATTGAGTAAGATACTGGATCCAAATAGGTGATAAGTATCTTAGATGGTCACAAGAAAATAATTAAGAGTACAGATAGATAAGTTCCTCAGACAGTCAGGAAAAAGAAGAATATCCTAAAAGGGTTGACTACTAATAAGAAAATGTTTTTAGCAGAGATCCTTTGGAGGACATGAAAAAATTTTAATTTTCTTTTTTTCTTTTCATTTTTATGTAGTGCATTTGCACTTTTTCAGATATTTCCCTTTCCTTTTATTTTTCCTTTCTCCATTTGTAATTTCTCAAATTCAGTTCCTTGGAGGATAATAAGCAGTGACAATCTGCTAACAATGATGGATAAGTTAGTAAGGTCTTCACCCAAAATTTAGTTTAGAGTGAAATATTGTTTCCAAGGTTGCACTTAGAGGCTAAAGTTTTTTTGAGAATTGAAAGCTATTGACGAGTGTATTAGTACAAGTCTTTTAGTTTAGCCATAATGCAATTGCCCTATGTATCTCAATCAGTTTTCTTAATAATTAATAAACACATAGTACTGGCCTGACCATGGGTTTAAAAAAAAAAAAAAGATGTTTTTTACAAACAAAAAAACAAAAACAAAAACAATTATTACTTTATATTCTTTGTGTCTATTCCTATAAATTTATTTATCTTATAAATCCAATTGTCCCTAATTATTATTCATTCACTTGCTCTTTATTTATTTAATTCAATTCTTTGTTTTACATACAAATCAAATCCACTTTACATTTGTAAATCCCACCCTATCCTATGTATGTTATGTTCTGTAAACCCTTACATTTCACGCACTTGCTTACACTAAATACTTTACATTTCAAAAACCCAAGCACATATTTTACGAATCTATTCTATATTCTACAAACATACTCGCCTTACATACTTTAGGTTCTGCCTTATGTTTCGCAAACCACAATCGCGAAAAAAAAATAAACACGAAAAAAGTATGTATGTACGCATATAAGAAAATAAATACGCAAAAAAAAAAAAAAAAAAAAAAGAAATAAGAAAATATGCATTTTTTTTTATTAATGTACTGTATATTGATTGGCAGGCTATATTCTGGCGAAATAATCCGGAAACATATAATTATTACAGTACGGAAATTTCAATGCAGATGCCGTTGTATAATGCACGGATATCATTTATTTTGGTAAAAAATATGTGCTTAAAAAATACGCAATAATCTTATAAGCGTGTCACGTGCAGACAGTATAGTACGTACCTTAATGCGCATATATAAATAAAAATTTCCGCTAGGTTTTTTTTAAAGGAATATTATTAATATTATTATATAATGTAAAAATTGCAAAAAAAAAAAAAAATTATGAAACTTCTAAAAAGAAATTAAATTAAATCTTCCTCTTAACAGCGTATACACGAACAGTGCAGCAATAGCTGTCATATTCTTTCATTTCTTTGACTGCATTTCGTACCATCTCATTGTACTCTTCGGAATTCACGCCCAAAGTAGTTATCAAATGGTCCTTCAAGTTTTCGAATAAATAAATAGCATCGTCTATTGCCTGCGAATTTAATAGATATTATATTTAATTTAAAAGATTTGTCTTTAAGCAAGAAAGTTAATAATTACCACTTGTCCAAGTTTGCCGGCTGTCATGCCCATGGAAAATGATCTTTCTTCGCGTACAATATTTTCAAGCTGACCTTGTTCACATAAAGAATGTAACTCGTATGCCACTTTGGGGAATAAATCTCTCCGTTCCAGCAGATTTATAACTAGGATTTTCAATTGAAGAATTATGGAACGGGATCAAAAAATACGAAATTTTAAGCATGCGAGGTCAGTGTAAGAAATAAAGAGACATACATGCATTTATCAGTTTTGTTGTATTTGGACCTGTTCTTTTAGTTTCTGGATCAAATTCCATTAGCTACAGCGATGAAGAAAGCAAGTTATGAGCTTAGTTAATAATATAAGTATAAATAATATGAATAAGAATGTTACCTCCAGATAACCACCAGGTTTCAGCACTCTAATTAATTCATTTATAACATCTAACCATTTATTTCTTGGAATTCCGGCAATTAATAAACGTTGAAATACGTAATCGAAAGAATCGTCCGCGAATGATAATCCGTCTAGGACATTTTCAGTGAGAAAAGTAACATTTTGGGGCTTAATTGCTGAAGGTTGGACAGGCGAAATGTCTACCCCTACGATTTTGGCATCTTCGTAATTTGTCGCGATTTCAAGCGCCCAGGAACCTGCACCACATCTTTTTAGAAGAATCAATCGTAAACGCCTATGTTAAGAAAAAAAAAAAAAGGAAAAGAAAAGCTTTTGTACCCAACATCAAGAATCTTTGAACCCTTCTCATTCAAAATATCTTCTACGGGCGCAGAAAAGTTACTTTGCCAAACATATCTGATTAAGAAGTGTTGGAGATGTAGCCTGTCCAATTCCTCGTCATCATTTGGAAGTGGGTATTTTGAATTCTCTACATTATGATATTGCCTTCCATTGAAATAGCGAAAATTTTCAACATCAGCATCCATGGTTACTGGGATTTTAGGATTTAATTTTGTAAGGCGAATCCCCATATTTTCTTCACAAGTTCATTTGCATATAGAAAAAAAGAGAAAAGATTATAAACCCGGTACTCACGAATGGGAAATTTATACGGGCACACGGTTGGTTTCGGGAGGGGGGCTTTACGACTGATTTAGGCATGATTAGTTCTTCCATTCTGGCCTCGATCCTTTTCACAATTGGTTACTTAATGTTTGGTAATCATTTATTGATTACAGCATTTACGTTGCACTTTCCATAAATTATCACATAGTCTGTTTGTTATCTCATACTAAAAAAAAAGATATTAATTTTAGGTTTTTCGATATTATCAGCAATTAACAGTATTGTAGAATGACTAGAATTGCAAATAGTATCACAGTAATACTGTATATTAAATCAGAGATTTTTTTATTTACGATAATTATTAAATATTTATGTCGTACAAAAGTTTATATATTATAGTACAGTATAAAATTTATAAATTACAAATATACGGGTACAATACGTTAAAGGGAATGTAAAATATAAGTACAAAGTACTGTTCATATGCAACAATGTTAAATGAAATCTACAATTCGTTAAAAATATCTGTTTTGCATACATTACTTTTCTCAGCTTGAATAGCAAACAAATTTTTACCCTTGTGGTTTCTAATGCCACCAAAACAACAGTAAAACACCTGACCTTTGTTCAATTAATAGATAAAAAAGGTTAAGATATTGCGACAGAAATTTAACAATATTTACTGTATATGATGTTCCCTTAATCACCTCTTTAATGACTGTTTTAGATGCCTGAACATTGGTAATATCACCTACGACGAACATGTGATCATCCAATTGAAGTGTAGTAGAGGGTACTGAGTTTGGCGCTGGCGACCACAAATTGTAAGTCGGATTCAATTGTCGTTTCTTATTGGTTTCCAAGGCAAGTGGAGTCGATTCGTCGCCAATATCGGTAAGGTCGATCCTTCCTAACATTAGTTCGCGCTCAATTCCCTCAAATGATTGACCAATATGCCAGTTTTTCGGGAACCTTGAGTTAAGCAAACTCACTTTCGAGTGTACAAGTGTAATTTGTTTATTGTCACGATTAGTTGTAATTTCGTCGACGAATTCTAGTATAAAATGTATGTTATGTACTTGAGATTACACGAGAATGAATTCGTGTAAATACATAATGTATCGATACCAAATGTTCCTCCTCCGATAGTTAATATCCTCTTAACATTCCTGATACCATTTCTCTGTTATTCAATCTTATTTCATGATTGCAAATAGCTGCTTCCGGTGGCCATAACCAAATAATCAAGGCTAACGGTAATCTAATGATGTGACAGCAATCACTTATCATTGATTTTAACATGACATCGTATGTGAATTTGGTTTTTGCGACGAACCCGTTATCAAGTATATCGATATTTCAATTACGATACAATTGTTTTGGACAATATGAGAAAGAAGAGAAGATTTTAAAACATGACTTTGAGATGCGAAATAAATATAGAGTCAAAAAATTTGTTTGGAAATCAACGTTCGAAACCGTCGTGCGCATACACTTGCCAAAAAAAAATAGCAGCCCGAAAGTTTATTAAGAAAATGCTGTCTTAGGTACAGTATGTTGACACCGGAGCATGCTTGTTTATTTGTATTGGAAGGTAATAAATAATTAAGTCAGAGCTGATTTTTATGAAAGTGCCCAAAATTAACTTTACGCCACCAAAGATACAGTATACTGCATCTTATTAACTGAGAAAACGAATGCACGAACCAACTGTAGTAGTCTTAGTAAACGAAAATAGTGAAAACGTGTTCTATTTTCTGGCGCTTATTTACTTTCGTATTTTAATATTTCCTTTTAAACTTATTTTGTGTTGTGGGGGCCAATTCATTAGAAATTTATGCGTCACGTAACGTGATGCAACTCATTCAAAACGTATTATAAATTGCTGAATAACATGTGTGTGCATATAGGAAAAGGACTCTATTTTTGCGTATAAGAAACCTCATTCTTAAAAGATTACAAAGTCAACATTAGATGCTAATTATCGTATATATGCTTTGGACCATTGAAGAAATCCGTAAAAATATACACGCCGCAAGCCATTTGCGCGGGATCATAATTAGACCCCAAAACACTAAAAAGAGCAGCAGCAAATAAAAATCAGAATTTTAAAGGACCTAGTGACGAAAGAATCCAATTCAAAATCTTACAAAAGACGTGAATACATAAATATAAAAGTTCTGCAAGTCAATCAGTAGGAGTATAAAAAGTGTGAAAGAAAGAGGTCAATGGAAAAAACAAAGTTAAGGGTCTGGCTTTAATTTTTTTATCTGCAGTGCGGTAACGTTTTACGAATATCATGATATTTTTATTTGCAGCCGAGATAAAGTATGTAGAAATTCGACGGCGAGATTTTACAGGCACAAAACAAAAGACACTGAATTCGAAGAAAAGGAGCTTCTAACTTCGGAGAGAGTTTCTTAATTGGAGCGCCTTGTTTACATTGATAAATACTGTACCTCTAAATAAAATTCTTTTTAAAACAAGAATGGTAATCGGGCACAGTGAGAAAATGTATTTATTGATTGTCGGTTGATCTTAACAATTTACGCCTGTGGTTGTTTATAGAAACGGAAGGCGCAACATGAACAAAAGACAAGTTGGGAATTAGATAAATAAAAAAAAAACGTAAATACTGTATATACTGTATAGTGAATTATCAAGTTTATAATATTTGCTTTTGAAAAAAAATTTTTATTTATAAATAAAAAAATTTTTATTTATAAATAAAAAAATTTATATTATAAACTTTATAATATAAGTTTGCATAAAATTTTTTTAAAATGTTAATATTATAATTTTATAAATTGTAATTTAAAAATAAAAAATGATTGATTTTGAGAAAACTATAATAATTAAATAATCAAAAAAATTTTAAAGATATAAAATCATTAGAAAAGAATGTATAAATTTATAAATTTATAATTTTATTAATTAAAAAAATTTTTATCAATTCTATATATTAAAAAATTAGATTAAAAAACAAAATTTTAAAAAATATCATATTGAACTAGATTTTTGTAACTTTAAAATATTTTTTTAAATTAATTTTATAAATTAAAATTATAAAATGATTATAATAATATAATTTGAATATTAAAAAATATATTTTTTTTTATTTTTTTATTTATAAATTATATATAATTTTTCATAAAATTTTTAATATGTTTTTTTAAAAAAAAAACAATTTTTTTATTTCAAAATTTTTTTTATATCAACAAAATTTTTTATTAAAGTATAATTAATCAAAGTTTTTGAAAAACAAGTGTTTTACACATAAATTTGATTTATTTAATTTTATTAATTTCAAATTTTAATTAATTACTATAAATTTAAATTTAAATTTTTTTTATTTCAAAAAATTTAATATTAATAATTATTTTATATTTTATATTTTATACTTTAAAAATAATTAATTTTATTAAAAAATATTTGAAGTTTTTTTTATTCTTAATTTTTATTATTTACTAAAAATATTTAAATAATACAAATTAAAATTTAATATATTGTAAGGATAAAACTCTTTCTTATAAATCACTGACCACAAAATTTTGAAAACAAAATTAATAAAAATTCCATCAAAAACTAAACAAAAAGAACCTGAAGTGAGTTTCTCTAAGACCCTCGACAATACAGAAGAATACTCTATTCTTGATGTAGTCCTTATCGATAACAAAACACCAAAAGTTTTTATCATTTACAAACAAAATAAAACCTCTCTTGTTTATGTGACAAAACCAGCAGCCTCTACTCAAGTTTCTTTTTTACAACATTGTCTCTTTTTATAGCTAATCCCCATATACAAACTTGATAATAATGAATCAAATCAATTACTAACAATTATTCAAGTTTTCTTTGAACCAAAACACCCCTCTAAATTTTCCACTCCTGATCTAAAAGTTACTGCAGAAATTCTTACAAACTTTGCAAAATCTATCTTAAACCAATTTATGAAACATCAAACAAACTTCAATTTATTCAAAAATAATAGAGAAATTGTTGTCAGAAAAGTTGTCAAAGAAACCATAAATTATAAACTCCATTATCCTTGGAATCAAATCTTTATTTTCCCAATGAATCCTCCAACACTTTTTCTCTCAAAAAAAGGGAAACTTCTATACCTCCTCCCAATACTCCTATTACACAAGAAGATTATTTCATGGAAATTGACCAACCAAATAAGGGGATCTGCAATACTCCTAATGTTGCTCAATACACCACTGAATTTGATTATTATCATACTGATTCCTCAGTAGGTAATAATCTTAAAAATAGTTCAAACAAAAGCACCAATCAAGATCAATCCCTCCTATTATTCAGCACTAACTCAAATATAGAAATTGATCAATAACAACACAATTCTAATCGACAATCATGGGCAGATGAAACAGAATACTCTATTAATGAATATGATATTAGAACCTCAAACCCCCCTAATCATAATCAAACAATATCCGAAACAGTTGATTTAATTACTAGTATACCCAGAGATCCCAAAGTATTAGTTGAATTATACATCAAAATCATAGATCTTCTAACAATTTTATCACCAAAATCACTATTAACAATCCTTACCAAAATATCATATAGAAACAAATCATTCTTTTGCTCTTTCACTCAAACAAATAAAATTAAAGGAAATTATCAAAAGGAATATGAAGCTATTGAAAAAGAGTTTCACAACAACTATATGAATAAATATAATATTGGCTATATTAATCAGACCACGAAGAAAAAAATTCAAATTATTCTCAACAGATCCATCTTAACTACATTTTTCAGATCAAACAATCTTTCTTTTCTTCATTATTAACAGGTAACTGAGTTCCTTGAATTTGGCTTTAATTTCTTTATCGAGCCTACCCAAGAAAAAATTGACTACAAGGAAATCTTGACTCAGACTGAAGAACAAATCAAAAATAAACTCCTGACTCTTTTCACAGATTCCTCTGATATACCTTCAAGAATCAAAATAAAACTCCCCTATCCCTTGCCTTTAAGTAATTCTAGCCTTATAGATACTATAGCCAAAGCTCTTAGAAGTTTTTATAACTTCAATCTCCTTTCCAACAACTACTTCAAACAACATACCAATCTATCTGAAGATCTAAATAATCTTCCAAACAAATTACAAGTGGAATTTCCTATCAGAGAGAAATCCAAACTTTGAAATTTAAAAGACTTGATTAAGCTACTTAGGAAATTATACTATGTACCCTCATAACTTCCAGACTCATACTTTGATTTTCCTCCACTAAAATCTCCATTCCCAGACTCATATCAACAACTTTCTGGGACTCTAGCACTCATATTCTCCATTCCAAATGACCCAACACAAATCTGTTATGCAATTACCAACCTTAGACGACATAACTTTACAGTCCAATTCTTGTCAAATGACTATCTCATCCAAAAACTCCCATTTCCATCACCACATTGGCACAGTAAAAACACTGGTATCTTACTCCCTATCACAGATCAAGAACAAGTTAACATGCTATTTCAACAACTTTCCACATATTACTCTTATTCTCTTCCATTAAACTCAGAATGAATTGACTCATCACTTAAACAGCTCGACCGTCCTCCAATCCCCACTGACTTTTCAGTCATTGAATAAACATTAGGCATTACCAAAAAACTGCTTGATCGAAATAACCTGACCTTCAATGAACATATTAAAAAAATCAAATCCTCATTCTATGTCCAATTTCTAGAGGGTGAATTACTCCCTATCTTCCAGAACTCCCAGATATTGAATTAATTGCTGAAATTCTAAAGGAAAAGAATATTAAGATGGACCTTCCTATTAAAGATAACAAAAATTTCAACACAAACTTAACAATTCTTAAAGAACTTTTTTACTTCCACATCCTTACTGCTGAATTTATAGCAGAGTCAGAGTTGCCCAATCCCA